GCATATATTATAAACCATACTTTTACACAATTACTTTTAAGGAATTATGAAATTAGGAAACAAATATTCTTATATTTACCCACATACATATATGATGCTCTTTGTGCCTTTGTGTATGTAATTTTCCTTCAGCCTTGCCGGGGTCCAACCCCAGCAGGTCCAGGGGTTCCCAAAGGTGTAGACAGAGTCGGCGAAGAAGGAAGGACACGGAGACAGTGTTCAGTTGATCAGCAGCCTAGCCAGGATCTCCAGCCAGGATCTCCAGCCAAGTTCTGGTCTGGAACTCCAAAGAGGTTCTGCTTAGGATCTCCAGCCAAGTTCTGTGTCCATGTTCTCTTGCTAGGTTCTCCAGGTTCTCCAGCCAGGTTCTGTAGCCATGTTCCCTCGCTAGGTTCTCCAGCCAGGTTCTGTCCAGGTTCTCCAGCCAGGTTCAGTCACCAGGTTCTAGTCAGGTTCTTTTGCCAATTTCTGTAGTCAGGTTCAGTCCAGGATCTTTTGCCATGTTCTCTCCAGTGAAGTTCTTCTGTCTGTAGGTTCTGTGTAGGTTCTGTCTTCTAAGTTCTGTGTGTAGGCTCTGTGTTCTAAGTTCTGTCTCTCGCTGTCTTGTTACATCTAAGGGTCCCTGTTCGGGCGCCATATGCTGGGGTCCAACCCCAGCGGGTCCAGGGGTCCCCAAAGGTGTGGATGGAGTCGGCGAAGAAGGAATGACATGGAGACGGAGTTCAGTTGATCAGCAGCCTAGCCAGGATCTCTAGCCAGGATCTCCAGCGAAGTTCTGGTTCGGATCTCCAGCGAAGTTCTGGTTAGGATCTCCAGCCAGGTTCTGTGTCCATGTTCTCTTGCTAGGTTCTCCAGCCAGGTTCTGTCCAGGTTCTCCAGCCAGGTTCAGTCACCAGGTTCTAGTCAGGTTCTATTGCCAATTTCTGTAGTCAGGTTCAGTCCAGGATCTTTTGCCATGTTCTGTCTCTAGGTTCTGAGGCCAGTTTCTGTCCAGGATCTTTTGCCATGTTCTCTCCAGCGAAGTTCTTCTGTCTCTAGAGAACGTTCTGTGTAGGTTCTGTGCCTAGGTTCTGTCTCTCTTGGTTCCGTATTCTAAGTTCTGTGTCTTGCTGTCTTATTACATCTGTATTTATACCAGTTGATTCAATCCTATCAATCTCTATTACAAAGGTTAGGGCGTTTCTTATCTCCATTCCAGGGAGTAAAGATTATGTAGCTTAAGCATGATTGTTCGTAGTTAAAGTGATTAATTACCCACCTGGCACTAGTTAAGAGGTTTTATTCCCTCCCTAACTTCAGGGGAAAATCCCTACCTGGGGAAACAACCTTTCTCAGAGACCTTGGTTAAAACACATAGTGTCAAGAAGGTGAGCAAACATATTAAGAACAGTATGCCATATATGCCAGGTCCCTTGAAACAGCAAGTATGGACCGGCTCCCAGCACAGCCTGAAGGACTTCCTTTAACATTTCTTATAGTTCAGGTCTGCTAAATTAGCTCAGCTTTCGTTTATCTGAAAATAGTTTTTATTTTGCCTTTAGTTTTTTCAGAGATTTTCACTGGACATTGAATTCTTAATTGGTGAGTTTTTCTTTTATACATTTCAGCACTTTAAAAATATCATTCCATTGAATTATGATGTGCATTGTTTCTGATGAAAAATCAATATTTAAAATTTTGTTCCTCTGTATATAATTGTCTGGCTATTTTTTAGAGATTCCTATATTTATCACTGGTTTCAGCAACAAACTTTGCATTTATAATGTTCCTGTTGTTTTGTTTGTATCTGCTTCTTGAGGTTTGTTAACTTTCTGCTATCTCTGGGTTGATATTGTTCATCAAATGTGGGGAGAAAGTTGGTCACTGGCTCTTCAAATGCTTTTTCTGACTCAATTTCTCTTTCCTCTCCTTCTGGGACTCCAGTTATACCTGTATTAGACCATTTTTGTTGTATCTGGGATCTATTCATTTTTTTAGTCTTTTTTACTTCCCGTACTTGAAGTTCTTTGATTTCTTCTTTTGTAGTGTCCTATTTGCTATTAAAAAAATTTTTAATTTCAGATATAATAACTTTTACTTTTAGAATTTTTATTTGGTTCTTTTTATAGTTTCTGTTTTTATACTGAGATTCCTGATCTGTTCATCTACTATGTCTAGTTTGCTTTAAATTCTTGATATGTTTTAAAGTTTTTGTCTACTAATTCCAACATCTGAGCTATCTCTGGGTCCATTTCTTTTAAGTATATTTTCCCCTTGGTTAGAGATCACATTTTTGGGGGGGGTTTTTTGTTTGTTTGTTTGGGATTTTTTTTTTTACATAGCTATTAATTTTTTTCACTGTTTTTACTGGATATTGTGGATTTTACATTGTTGCAAAAGTGCTTTATTTGCCTTCCTTTGAAGAGTCTTCACTTTTCTGTCAACGTTTGCTCACAGACTAACTTGATCTTCTTGAGGCTTATGTTAAAAGTTTTTAGGTAAAGTATAAAGTAGCCCTTACTGTAGAGCTAGAAAAGCCCTACTCCTAAGACTTTGCCTTTCTGACATTTTAATTGAATGCCCAGTATGTACAGTGAGGTCTCTCGAATCTGTCTGATCAGTTATCCAATGTCTCCAAGCCTTATGCAATCTTTGGAATCTTTGTTCAGCTCACAATTCCTCAGTAATTATTCTCTGCCATGACTCACAGAGTCCTTCCTTCTGCATGTACAACTTAATGTTCAGTAAAATATTGAAAGAGACTTTTATGCATGTTTCTGGAGCTCTCTGTGTGTGGGGTGTGTGTATGTGTGTGGTGTGTGTGTGTGTGCATCCTCTTTCTCTCTGGTACCTGATACACAAAGCTGAACTTCAGTCTTTACCCCATCAGCTCAGTGAGATCATTGCCCTTTGCTTAAGCTACTCCTTTATGCATCACAGTCTCTAGAAGGTGTTTCTACAGAAAGCTGAAGGTGATTATTGGGCTGACATCATGTACTAATATTTTACTTTTCTCAAGGATCACATTCCTTCTCTGATTGTTGTCTAAAGTTTGAAAACTTCTGTTTCAGTTTTATATTTGTTTATAACAGGAGGACTAGTTTGGTACTAATTATGCCATCATGGCTGAAAATGTAGGTCTCTAGTACAATTGAGTGATTCACTCTCAGTTGTTCAAAAACCTCCATTTTAAAATGGCCATAGTATTACCTTTGAGAAATGGGATATCTCTGAAAAGGCTTGTGAACAAAATATATTTTTTATGGACAAAGAGCATGGCCAAGATGCTAGGTGGAATTCAAGGTGTTATTTGCAAGCTCTGGGTTAATGCTTTTTTGTATGTATGGTTGTATGCTTTTATGTATTTGTGTGTAAGAGTATGAGTGAGAGCAAATGAGTATTAGGAGAGGAAAAAGAGAAGCCATGCAAATATAAAAGTAGGAAGACACACTGAAAGGGTCAAAATCTTAGTTTTTTTTAAAAAATAATACTCAGCATGAAAGTAATTTAAAACTCAAAAAATTTAACTCTTTCTGCAATATTAGCTACATGTTTGAATGCCTACCGCGTGTCAGGCATTTTTCTGTGTTTCACATATTTTAACTATTTAATCTTCACAACAACCTTTTGTGATATGTGCCTGTTTTATCCCCATTTTACAGATTAGAAAACTGTGATATAAAGAGATGGTATAACTTGCCCATGGTTGCGATGTTCATAGGTAGGAGTTGGGATTTAATCCCAGGCAGTCTGCATCCAAACCGCTACATTTTTAACCTCTACACTTTCTTCATATCAGAGAAGGATTTGGTTAGTGTCTCCTCTAGTCTCTTCCTCACTCCTCTGTCCTCTAAAAAAATTCCCCTGTTAAGTTTCGGTGACCAATAAAAGCCTCACTGGGGTTTGGTGTTGGTCGAGGACGCTTGACCATCGAAAAGATGGGCATGCTGTTGTTCCACAGTTTTTTCACGCTGGACTCTTTTAGCATCTTCCATTTCATCAACTTCAATCGCCAATATAGCTTTTCAATATTCAAGTGACCTTCAAGTATGGACAAAACTTGATGCGTGACTCAGGGAGATTTTCAGTCCCTAATTTAGACAGTTTGAGAAACCAGGTGATGATTGGGATGACCCATCTCCCTTGAGATACAGGAAGTGGGGAGAGGGAAAATCACTTCCCTAAATTATCAGTAATTCACACCAGGAGACTTTCAGACTAGTTCTGCTTCTGACTTGGGGGATGGTGAGATTGGGAGGTGGGGTATGAATACTGATCTGGACTAGAGGCACTGGGTCTCTCTAGGATTTTATTTCCACTTCTCCACCTGAGAGTTGCTATCTCCTCGAGATGGGTTCTTCCAGTGATCTTGACGATTTCAGGAAGGAAGGAGCTAACAGATTGCAGGCTATTATTATGGCAACATCATTTCTCTTTGGCCACCAAACAGTTGTATCCTGAGTCATGAACCACTCCGCTCAGTGGCTGTGGAACCAAACTGCGTTTGAAATTCAGAGGAGAAAGTCCGTGTGTGCCAAAACCAAGCCCCTGAGTCACCCAGCACCCATCAGGAAGACAGCAATGAATAGGGTCGGAAGCAGTGCCAGGAACCATGCCTTGCAGCTGGCGTGGACCTTCAAGCGTCCATTCCACAGATATCTTTCTGGTATAAAAACCTCATGTCCTCACCGACAGGAGGCGCCATTGTCTATTCTCTCTGCTCTTTGCAAGGTTCCTGACTACTGAATCACCTCCTTTTTACATGAAGTGAACCGTGTACTAGGGAGATCATATTTTATTTGTAATGTCTAAAGAAATTATATTAGACATGACAGTTTATGAAACAAAACAGGTAGAGTTTGTATTTGGAAAGGTAACATCTTATTTACTAGGAAGACCTGAATTTGGACAGATTTACCTGGGCCCATTTTAAAGCCAGAAAACTAGTATCCCTTTGGGCTTGTCAACCAGAGTCCTGTAATTATTCTATATAATTGTTATTTTTCTTTTCTTTTTGGAAGGAGTCTCCTGCTGAAGAAAGAATCTAAAGAGATGCCTAAGTTCCAGGGAATTTTCCTCTAAGACTAATAACATCAAGATAGTTTTGATTTTACTTATTTATGGTCATTGTTTTTCTCTACATGAAAAAAATGTGTCATCTTCTGAGATCCCGGTTAGAATTTTTAATTTTCCTTATGCTGGTTGAAGAAGAATCTCAAACCTTGGTGCTGCTTTTTGTTTATTTCAAGAAGAATTTCAGCTGGTGCTTGACAACTTATGCCTCCTATAAAACCAAGAAATATTTTTTTACACGGTGTATATTCAAGATATCTTCCAACTGACAGACATTCCACCGAACAAAGAAGTTGGGCCATTTTTCACTATACATTTTTGGTTAAATATGTGAGAGCTATTGTTTTGAAAGTCAACCATAGTAATAATAGCCAATTCAAAAAACGTCCCACTGAAGAGTGAGTTACATTTTGTCTCTATGTCTACATTTATACTCCATCTCTCTCTCCATCTTTTAGTTCTCCCAGAAACAAAACAGAGTATTTCTCCTCTGGCAAACTAATGGCAAGGTTCCATGTAAGAAAATGCTGAACTTGAAATTATGAAACATCACCATCAGTTTCGGAGGATTACAGGATTAGAAGGTAGCCAGAAATTTAGGGCTCAAGAACCTAGAACATTAAGTTCAGAGATGGAATGTCATTGGCTCCAAGGTTAAAAACAGAGGACCACCATCTTATTGCCTGTGATTATGACATACTTGAACATCAGTTGGGCTCAAATACACATTGAAGACAGTCAGCCAAAGGGTAAATAAATTAAACTGAAGTGACTCAGAAAGCACCTAGGGAGCTGAGTTGTGAAGCAGTAACAAGGAACTTTGTTCTTGAGAATGACCCCACTTAGAACTCAAGGGAGAGAGCCTCATTAGAAAACTCAAAGAATCATAGTACCCAGTGAGTTTCATTTATAAGCTTTCTCAATAGAGATGGAAAAGAATATGTATGATGATATAAGGGGACTGGTATCTATATTTGGAAGTTCTGGACATTTACCGTATATTAAACCCAAGTATTTCCCTTTTTATTTTATATTTTTAAAATATTTGATTTTTTGAGAGAGGAAGGAAGGGGGAAAGAGAGAGCAACATCAATGTGAAAGCTGCCTTCTGCATGTCCCCTACGGGGGATCGATCTGCAACCCCAGCATGTGCCCTGACCAGGAATTGAACCAGCAACCTTTCGGTGCACAGGACAATGCCGCTCAACCAATCGAGCCGCACCATCCAGGGCTCACGTTTTCCCTCTTAAACCAGCAGAATAGCCAGATCATGTGTACTAGAATGTCTGTTTAAAAAGAGAGACAAAAATACATTGATGTAAAGACGTTGAGACTTTCCTCAGTCTCACTTATCATAAGCTTGCTTCTTGGAAGAGCTTCCTGCTGGGGCACTGAGCTACTACTGAAGCTCATTTTGTGGCATATTTTTTCTCACTGATACACTTTTATGAGTTATTCTTGTTGCATTTTGCTGTACCAGGACAAGGCCCAGGCATCCACTGACTTTCACGAAGGCATCTATGGAAGGGTTTTGAAGTCCACTGGTTAAGAGGAAAAAGCGCTTTTGTGTTTGATCAGTATGTAGGCAGAAGGTAGTCAGAAACAATGCTGAGTCACACTTTAAAAGAGCCGCGCTGCAAACAGAGGGAGAGGGCTTCATCGCTGGCTCTGAAGTCAGCTGACCTGGGTCCTGGTTTTTGTTACATCAAGGGCACACGTCTCAATGTCTCCAAGCTTCATTTACCTTCTATTTAAATACCAACATTTCTTGACTACTTACTATGTACCAACCACTACTATCAGCACTTTTAAAAAATTGTTTTTAGAGAAAAAGGAAGAGGGAGAGAGAGATAGAAACATCAACTATGAGAGAGAATCACTGATTGGATGCCTCCTGCATGCTCACACTGGGGATCGAGCCTGCAACCCTGGCATGTGCCCTGACCGAGAATCAAACTGTGACCCCTGGTTCATAGGTTGACTCTCAACCACTGAGCCACGCCAGCCAGGCTCAGCACTTTTATTCATTTAAACCTCACAACCATCATATTACATTCCCACTTTACAGATAGGTAAACTGGGGCTCAGAAAGGCAATGAAGCATGCTTAAGATTATATCTTGAAAATTAAGGAGACCAGGATTCAAATTCTCATCAGTTTCATTTCAGAGCCTGAGCTTTTAATCTCCCTGAAATGGGGGCAATAATAACATCATCACTGACATATATCAAAAGAGATAATGTCTGCCCTGACCAGTTTGGCTCAGTGGATAGAGCATTGGCCTGCGGACTGAAGGGTCCCAGGTTCGATTCCGGTCAAGGGCATGTACCTTGGTTGTGGGCACATCCCCAGTGGAGGGTATGCAGGAGGCAATGATTGATGTTTCTAACTCTCTATCCCTCTCCCTTCCTCTCTGTAAAATAATTCAATAAAATATATTTTTTTAAAAAGAGAGAGAGATAATGTCTGTAAAAGCACCAGAGTCATAGACACATGTAAGGAATTGTAATTGTTATAATGAGGTCATTTAAGAAAAGGGAAAATTAGTAGTTACATGACATGGTCATGGCAGAAGTATTCTCAAATGCTGACACACCAGAGCTTACTTGTTCTATGTGAATCAACTAGTATTTCCTGAATACATTATTTTCCTTGACAGCACCCAATCAAATTATTAAGTATGATATGTTACATAAATCAGGTATGATGGATAACCATTCCACTATAGATTCTTTCAGTTTTTAGAAGGCTGGGCAACCTAAAAGACAAAGAGAAGCAACTCTGATCCACTCGTTACCTTTGAGTCAAGCTGCACTGGTTTGCTTATTTGTTTAAGCTCTGAAGACATTTGCACAGAAATTCAGCTCAAAAACCCCAGGAACCATAATGTAGGTTACCAATAATCTAGAAAGTGTTATTTGTTTGCTTGTAGGTCATAAGAGGATCAGAGTCTATGAAGCAGAGACATAATGTTCCTTAAATCACCACCACAATAAAATATACACAATTCCAAGTCATTCTTATTTTCAAGTAGAAATTTAAATGGACACTTACAAACAATAAATTTAGAAACACAGTGATCGAAATGTTTTGTAGATTTATAGTTAAAAACAACCCAGACAACACCCCCCCGCCCCTCCCCGCCAAAAAAAATCCACCTACAAGGATTTTAAAAACATTTTATTCCAGTTCCATATGCTGTTTCTCTGAAATGTATACGACCCAAGGGTTTGGGCCCCAAAGCCAAAGTATACTTTCCCTCCTCTATTGGATCTGTAGGTTCCTCAGATCTGCAAAGTCCACGGTGAGCACTCTGCTTTTGCTGTCTGGGCCGGTCTGCTATAGTCAGAAATCTGTGGACAGGTGGTGCATGAGCTAGAGGAGAAGGCTGAGGTCCTTCCTTCTATTGGCTGCACCAGAGAGTCAACAAGAAGACTTCAGTCATCAGCAGGAGCGCCATGGCTACATGGACCAATCAGATGGAATTGCTTGTGCAAATAGTAGCTTGTGTCATCATAGTACTGATGGAATTGATTAAACTGATCGGTTATTTTAAGATTACATAGAAAAATAGGAATAAATGATAGGTAGATCAAGAGTAAAGGGACTGCAGTCATCAGTATGTCTCAAAATGAAAATGTAAAAATGCACCCTGGTTACCAAATATTGTATCCTTTAAGGAGCCTGAGGACTGAAAATTTAAAACTCATGCTTCTATCCCTTATAAAGAAATATTTTCTAAATTCTTAGGTTTGATGGTGGCAACTAGATCGCCAACTAGAAATGAGGATTTTTAAATCTGATGAATGTCTTTTTATTTTCCTGAATTATTTTTCTGTTGATAGGAAAAGTCTTTCAGAACTATAAATTTGCATCACAGTTAGTGCATGTTTAATAATTCGTGTTTTTTTTTTTAAAGAATAACATTTAAACATATAATTTTGGTCCTGGCCAGGTAGTTCAGTTAATTGGAGTATCATCCTGATACACCAAGGTTTTGGGTTCCATCTCCAGTCAAAGCTCATACAAGAATCAACCAATGAATGCATAAATAAATGAGACGGCAAATCAATGTTTCTCCCTCTCTCTCTTCCTCCCTCTCTCCCCAAAAATAAATAAATAAAATTAACATTTTTTTTTTAAATTTCAGAGAGGAAGGGAGAGGGATGAGAGAGAATCATTGATTGGCTGCCTCTTGCGTACCCCACCCTGGGGATTGAACCTGTAACCCAGACATGTGCCCCAACCAGGAATTGAACCATGACGTCCTGGTTCATAGGTGCTTCACTCAACCACTGAGCTACGTTGGCTGGGCAAGAATAAGATATATATATATATATTTTTAGAATTGGGGCTGCACCAGAAAATCCACACTGAAATGGTCTCCACATCTATGCGTAATATTAGCTAATCTCCATCTGCTGAGCTGTAAAGGCTTCTCTCCTGGAAAACAAAAGCCGTCTCTGACTAAAGGTTGAGTTGAGTCATAGAACCAGTTATACAGCGGGTGCTCCAGTCTTTCGCATTTTTCTCCCAAACAGGAAAGGGTTTGCACCTAAACGATTTGATGTGGTTTTTATAAAGTTGCATGGGCTCCTGTCTTGGAGAGAGGTGGATTGTTTTAGGAAGGGAGACAGGATGAGATAGCCAACTGAATGCACTGCACGACTTTTGGGGAACAAGACATTTCATTCAGTTACTGTTTTGAAGTCTATTGGAAAATTGATTTCTACTGGAAAATTTTTTCTGAGGAGGGGAGGAGAGGCCTGTAAGAAGTTATGTAAGGCCCAACCGGTGTGGCTCAGTGGTTGAGTGTTGACCTATGAACCGGGAGGTCAGGGTTCCATTCCCGGCCAGGGTACATGCCCCGTGTGGGGCGTGCAGGAAGCAGCCTATCAATGATTCTCTCTCATCATTGATGTTTCTATCTTTCTCTCCCTTTTCCTTTTTCTCTGAAACCAATACAAATATATATTTTTTTTAAAAAGAAAGAATGTATGTGGGTGCGCCCAAACCAACATGGCTTAAGAAAGGACCATTTTCAAAAGACCATCTCATGACGTTTAATGGGTTGGGGTTTAACAATTCTGCAAGGCTTACTATCAAAACCTTGTTTGTTTTGCCTTTTGTTTTCTTTTGGCCAGCTCAACTTGACTAATAATGAACAACCCCATTCATGAGGCCAAAGAGCGTGTTTTTCAGCCTCCACGCTGTGGGTCTGGACAAGAACTGCAACAAGGAAAAACAGTGTTGCTCAGTAATGTTTTAAGCCCAGTTGATCAACAAGATTCAAGGAGGTATACAGTTTTGGGGACCTTGTGACTAAAGCTCTGCTATCCAGGTTTTAATCTGGAGGGAGTGTAGTTTATTAAAAATGCTCGAAAATGAAGTATTCCATACAAGGTCTAGCTTCATCCATACAGCAATAGCAATGGTTGGAACAATAAGTTGACGCTTATTCGAGTTTCTGATTCAATCATGTATTTTTTCTCCTTTTTTTGGTTTATTTTCCAGTTTTATCGAGATATAATTGACACACAGTACCATATGTAAGTGAGGGTGTACAGCGTGATGACTTGATGTACATATATTACAAATGATCACCACAGTAGGTTTAGTTAACATCCATTACCTTATGTGCTTATAAAATAAAATGTTTTTCCTTGTGATGAGTACTTCTAGAATTTACTCTGAGCAACTATCAAACATACCGTACAGCAATGTTAACTGTAGTCATCATATTACACATTCCATCCCCAGTAATTATTTATCTTATAACTGGAAATTTGTACCTTCTGCCCACCTTAGACCATATTTTTAACTCTTTCCAGTCTGCCATTTAGCCATTGGAAAGAATAAGGAAGAAAGCATATTCTTCAAACCACATGATTTTTTAAATAGCTTGTTATTTTATTGTCTTATGAAATAATCAATAACTTTTTAAAAAAGGGTTTCAGCAACATGTAATTAAACAAATCTTACATTTAACAAGTGAAACTATTCCTGCATTCCTTTCCTTCTCTAAAAAGTGTTGCGTTTAAGTAGCTGCCTTTAAA